GGAAACATGGCTAACTAGCTGTAGGAATGAGTCTGGGTTTAAATCCAGTCTCACCTGATGCCAAAGCCCATGCTTTTTCATCACTACCCCGAACTGTTTTCACATCTTGGAGAAACTTCATGCCTTCACCTCCCTCACCACCTATAGTACAGTCTTTTCTGTTGCATTAATGTAGAGAAGACTGAGTGTGTGAGACAGTCCTAATGGTGTCGTGTCAGGAGAGCCATAATTTAGTTGATGGAGCACATCTCTGAGGCTGTTGTGCAAGAATGAGCCTGCCTTCTCCTCCAGAGTACCTAGGATTAGAGTGTGCCCACATTCTATGCCTTTGCCCAAGGACATAGGCAGGTGAGGGTGTACAGCATTGGCAGTGGGAGTGAGACATTTGACATGTATTTCAGATCGTAGGAAGACCTGCTAGGTATTGGTGGTCATATGAGATGAAAACTTCTGACAATATGTCAATGACGATGTTTTTGAAGGTCTAGTAATAGGAATGTATCAGTCAGGACTCTTGGTCACAATCCAATTCAAAGTTGCTTAAGCAAAAAGAAAACTTTTTGTTTGTTTATGTAATGGAAGTCTGAGGATCCATTGGACTTCAGGCCTGGCTGCCTCTAGTTGCTAAAAGAAATCACTAGAAATCTATTTCTATCGATCGTAGCTGTTTTTTTCTTTGTCTTCATTCTTAGACAAGATCATCTTGAATTGTAATAATGGCGTCTGTCATCCACTCTGGACTTCATTCTAATAGTTTGACAACATAGTGAGGAGAGAAGGCTCTTCTCCCAATAATTCCAGCAAAAGTCCCTGAGTTCACTCTAATTTGACTCAGTTTGGGTGACTGGCCCATCCCTAATCCCTAATTACAGAGGCAGGAGATAGGAATGTGCTAATTGACTAAACTGGTCATAGGATTTGGGATTGGGATGAACCCCACCTAAATGACCCGGACTGAGATTGGTGGTGGAAAACATTTTATGTTCAAAGGTGAGTGAGGGCTGGGGTGAACAGGGGGCAAGTGAAACCAATAGAGAGCCATTGTACAGATTTTCTGCTCCCACTAAGGAGCATAAGAGGGAAGCTACTGAGAAGTTCTAGGGAAAAAGCTGGAAAGCCCAGCTTGGGGAGCATGGCACAGCAGCAAGGGCTGGGCTTGAGGAGAGTCATCATCAGGCCTTCAGCATCTATCCTGGTTCTAGACACAGGCCTGGCTTTCTCCCAAGTCTGTCTCAAGAGAGCAAAGAAACTGCAGAGAGGGCACCATGCCTGTGGTAAATAGTCCACGTGTCAGAATCGTGTGAGGGCCCTGCCTCCTAAGCAGCCAGATAGTGAGACATTTGCAAAGATGTTAACCCCACATAAAAAGCGTGCCATTCAATAATTATGTAAATTAGCTGGCAATTAGATAATGTCACTCACTTTCCCTTTCTTGTGAGATTTCCACACAACAGATAACAATTTTTGAGCTTTTGCATCACACCGTACCCTCCGTGCAGGCTCTGGGGCAAACCACCCGCACCCATGGCTGCTGGGGCCATCCTATGGCTCGAGAGAGGGTGGCAATTGGCTGACCAAGCGGGGAGAGCTCTCTGGCTCCCCTTTTTCCATTTCCTGTGCCTTGCCGTAGCCCGCTAGAGGGCTAAAGAAGGCTAAAGAATAAATGCCTGGGGCAGTTGGCTTGCCGCCTGTGATGGTTAATATAAGGTGCTCTTTAGCTTTTGGCCATTTTGGCTATTTCCCAGAGGCCACAGGAATGTCCACAATCTAAGGGCTTTAAGAAAATGTGGGCCTATCCTAAGGGTGTCAAGTCTAGATAAACTCAATTCTGATGTTACCAGTCCTGAAATCAAATTCTGCCTGGCACCTATGGGAAAGAGAGCTTGGTTTTCTTCAGTCAGCCTTTTTGATCCCCCACAATGCCGGCAGGGCAACCTTGGTGTCACCAGTGGTAGGCTGGGCTGGAGGGAAGGACTGAGAATCTGATGGGAGAGGCTCAGCTGGCAGAGTGGCCGCCCCAGAACAGGCTGGGTAAATTCCCATGATCCTCCTCATGGGGCAGTTTTCCTGGGCAGCTTAGTTCTTAATTCACGAGTTTCCTGGATCACTAAGCTTGTGCTGCTTTGCCCTTTGGGGTCATCTGAGTCGGCGTTCAGAGAAGTAAGGGGGCTCAGGATTGTTGCTGTTGTATAAAGTGGAGTGAGGTGACTGCGTGGAACAGAAATCCAGTGATTCACAGGGATGCTCTACAGTTTCTGTTTTCACTCTTCATTCTTTCTACACAAGTTTCCTGAGCTCCGACTCCATGCCAAGGTCCTGGGGCAGGCACCGTGGTCATGCAGACCTGCCCCCAGGGAGCTCCCCAGTGAGTTTCCAGAGCCTGGGCTGTTCCTCGCTGTGCTTTGTCTCTAAGGTACACTTGCCGCTGCCACTTTTTGATGCCCTCAAGGATGAGAATGCTTTCTCACTCTGCTTTGATACAGCAGTAACTGGAAGGAATCAGAGCTCAGTTAGGTTGAATTGAGCAAGTCATTTAATTTATACAGACAAATACATGACTTTCGGAGGCCCAGAGGTGAGTTGATAGTATAGGCCAGTCTGAAAGTTTCTGGAACTGTCCATTTAGAAGACCTCCCATGTCCCTGCTCATCCATGATACTGGGTCCTCCACGTGGATGTCCTTGCCTCCCACTGAGGTGCCCACTGTTTTCAGCCATCTGACCCTGGGCCTCGCCTGTCAGCCAGTGGACTCACTCGATCTAAACTGGCAGGACTGGGAGTCAAGAAGGAGGTAGAGCAGCCAGGACAGTGTCCCCAGGAAGCCTCTTGGGCTCACACACCATAGGCTCCATTGTGTACCGCGTGATTTTTACATTCTTGGCTCATCAATAATCCCAGGCTTGGGATACCCCTTGCAAGAGGTATGTTCTTTCTGCCCCCAACTGTCTTGCTTCCTCCTCATCTAAATCCAGTGTGTGACTGGGAAGAGGAGACAGGAGCAGCTGTCCTCTGAGTACATTTTCCAAAAGTGGACACTTTTCAACTGTTTGATATAAGGAAATATGTAGACGTGGCAGTTGCTGAGACTGGAAGGAGCCTTCTTTTTAGGGCAAGGAGCTCCTCTCTGCCCCGGGATGTTGTCTTTTGCCTCGGCTGGCATACTTTACCTCGTACAGCAAGCACAGTCTTGGGGACTGGGTCGCATCATCTAGCCTCCTGATATTCACCTCGGACTTCATGTCTTCTCGGTCTAACAGCAGCGGCCTCCAACATATCAGCCTGCTCCAGTCTCAAGGCCTTTGCAGGGACTATTACTTCTGGAACATTCCTTCACCCTCTTCCAAGGCTTTCCTTAAATCATATCTTCCCAAGGACTCTGATTTGTGGTGTTTGCCTTTTTCCATGGTGTGAATACTCCTGGCATAGTTGATTTCATGATACTGAAGTGACACCAACCAGCTTAGAAATTTCTGAAAGTTTAACTACTGGTTCCCAGCAGCCCGTATGAGTTGGCATCTCCACATCGCCGTGTCTAAGGTCCATTTAAATGCCCATTGCACCACTGGAGGCAGCCATGCCACACTGGGAAACATTGCACAGACAAGACCTTCTACAGAGCAAAGATTTCCTTGTAATGGGTTCAGTCAGCCTGCTACTGATGGGGTTTATTTGTGGGAATAGGTGTTTGTTCTTGGTTGACAGCATTTTCCTCCTCAAAGCAGGGGTAATCATTAGCTTTGCTAATGTGGTCATCGTGAAGACAGTGAATGGTAACGGTCTGACAGAGACCATGGTGAATTATCAAATATGCCAATTAATAAGCTGCAGCTTGCACAGCTCTTGGAAATTACACTCTCGGGGCTCATGTAAACAGAGGAGTCAACTCAGCTAGACTGGTGTGAGTCTGCCTTCAGAAACCAGATCACCCACTTGCCTGGTTGCATTTCCAACTGGTATAAACTACATGTAATGTGTACTAGGTGTGTGACATTCCTTAACGACTCATTTGTTGTCCGTTCTCATCATTTTTTAAAAAGCATTTGTGTTTTAGCATACTGTCCCCGCTCCACAGGCATGCACACACTCATACGTACACCATACATACACCAGGGATACGTACACCATACATACACCAGGGATACGTACACCATACATACACCAGCCCTCTTCTCCTCCCTTCCTATCTGGAAATGAGGAAGGAAGGAACTAGTGTTTATCGATTGCCTCCTATGTCCATAAACTCATGCTGGAATCGTCTCACATATGATCTCATTTAATCCTCTCTCCAGCTTTGGAGAGAGGCTTTTATTTTCTCTACTTTACAAATGTGGAAATAGAAGCGCAAATAGGTTAAGAAATTGGCTTAAAGTTCCACGTACAAGAACCGGGATTCAAACTCAGCCTTTTTAAAAAGTCTTGAAGCACATATTTCTTTTTCAATAAGACCTTTTCCCTCAACATTTAGTAAGAGAGAAGGATTGTTTTGCTCATTACTCACCTTCTAATTTATTTTTACTGATTTTTATAAAGATTTCTTTCAAAAAATTAAAGGCCGCCTACATCCAAGCATTGGCTTGTCAGATTGAAAAAGAAAACCTTAAAAAGAAAAAAAAAATCATTTTCATGTCTCTTAATAGACAAATAAGGTAAAATTATGTGTGTATTTGAGTGTATAAAATGTTAGCACTTACCTTAAACATAAATGTTGGCTATGTGACCCTGTGATATGAATATTGCAAAAATGTGCTGATATGGCTTTGGGGTTTTTATGCTATTTTTGCACATGGAAAAACTGAGTGCATTATTAGGAGCTGAGCTTGGGGTCCTGCAGTGCCTCTGGAAGAGCCTAGGTTCTCCCTCCTATGTGAAGCACCAAGCACTGTGGGAATCACACTCAGCACTCCATCAATATTTGTAAAATAGGATGCAATATTTTCCTGATATGTGCCCTAATCTTCCTCTTCTTCTCTCCTTTCTCCCCGTACCCCTTCTTCCTACAGGTCTTCTTCTGGAGTCCTGGGAGGCAGGTTATGGGCAGGACTGCCTCTGGCCTGCACCATGAAGCCTGAGTCTGCTTCTGCTCTGCCCGGGGCCCTGCTCTGCCTGAGCACTCAGCTTCTGACTGCCCTTCTCCCCGCAGCCCCCAGCTGCTAGGAGGTAGAACTTCAGGACTGGTCCTTGGCCTGCTTCTACCTTTCACCTGGCTTGCCTCACCACTCACTCCTCCTCCATCACAGCACTGCCTACCCCAGCCCTCTCCCCGGCCTACCTGGCCGGGGCATTTGAGGGTCTGTTGGGAGGAGTGCATTGCTGAAGCCTTCCACCCACCTCCTTGATTTTCCTCCTTGAATCAAGGCCTCCGGATCCACATGGATAGCTGAGATCTGTTCTTGGAGAAAGACACTTTGCTCCTCACTCCAGGCCCTCATTTTCCCCACCTGAATGCCTCTTCTGCTGCCCTGTCTTTTCCCTCCGCCTCTTTAGTGAATTTCCTGCTTGTGTGCCCATCTGGGGCTGCCTTGTTCACTTTCCTCTTTCCTCAACCTCTCGATATCTGTGCGTGTGCCTCCTTCCTCTTGTGTGCTCTCTGTCCCCCAGCCTGTCTCCTCTTCCTTTCTCCCTTCACTGCAAAGGGGCATCATCCCCTGAGGGCTGTTCCCTGGCTGTCTGGTCCTCCGGGCTTTGTGCCGGCAGCCGCGATGAGCTTCCCCGTGCACTCGGTGTTCTTCACCCTGAAGGTGAGCGTCCTGCTGGGGTCCTTGCTGGGGCTCTGCCTGGGCCTTGAGTTCATGGGCCTCCCCAACCAGTGGGCCCGCTACCTCCGCTGGGATGCCAGCACACGCAGCGACCTGAGCTTCCAGTTCAAGACCAACGTCTCCACAGGGCTGCTCCTCTACCTGGATGATGGTGGCGTCTGTGACTTCCTCTGCCTCTCCCTGGTGGATGGCCGCATGCAACTCCGCCTCAGCATGGACTGCGCCGAGACTGCCGTGCTGTCCAACAAACAGGTGAATGACAGCAGCTGGCACTTCCTCATGGTGAGCCGGGACCGCCTGCGTACGGTGCTGGTGCTCGACGGTGAGGGCCAGTCTGGGGAGCTGCAGTCCCAGCGGCCCTACATGGATGTGGTCAGTGACTTGTTCCTGGGTGGAGTCCCCGCGGACATACGACCTTCTGCCCTGACCCTCGAGGGAGTACAGGCCATGCCCGGCTTCAAGGGATTAATCTTGGATCTCAAGTATGGCAACTCAGAGCCTCGGCTTCTGGGGAGCCAGGGTGTCCAGTTGGATGCTGAGGGACCCTGCGGTGAGCGTCCTTGTGAAAATGGTGGGATCTGCTTTCTCTTGGATGGCCACCCCACTTGTGACTGTTCTACCACGGGCTATGGTGGCAAGCTCTGCTCAGAAGGTAAGGTCCTCTTCCCCATTCCTCTATCGTTAGAGACCCACACAGTGGCTGGGGTGAAGGCTAAGACCCCTGATAGAAACCGGCTCAAAAGTTGCTGCTGTTATCAAACATGCAACTAACGATCTTCAGCTGTATGTTAGATAATCGGGTCCTTTTCCCAAGGGGGTGCTGGAAATCTTTTGCTTGCTCTTAATGGAAAACCCATCAGATCTCAGAAGAAAGAGAATCCTGGCTACTCAGCCATGGGCTCCTTACTCAAATGTTTGGCCGTACTCAAAGGGCTAGATGGAGTAGATCGCAGATCTGTGCCTAGCTCAGCTACATCCACCTCAGCACAGATTAGCAGAATCGACACAGGGCAAGAAATCAGATAGAAACGGGCAAAGTGGTTGTCTCGATCCCTTGAGAATTGGACCCTTGGGGATAGATGGGAACCTCCCATTACTTCCTCCTTATAATCCCTGGCATAAGGAAGGCCTGTGCAAAGAAGAACTAAAGTGGATGGATTATTGGTCCATGCTTGGCCCTGCTGTACACCCAGCCCTTTAGCTGTGCCCCTCCTACCACAATCTTTTGGGGAGGCGTCTGGCGGGTGGACGAAGCATCTGGGGATGGGCCTTCTTGCCTCCTCATTCTTGCACTAGGATTTTTTAATATGAAGTTCCTTTTTCCTTTCCTCTCCTCTCTGTGTATGAGAATGGTAGAGGAAGGCACCAAGACTGACAGGAGCCTTGTCCAACCAAGCCTCTGAGGGAGCTGGCAATACTCAGCATAGCCTCGGAGAACCTCCCAAGTTCAGCTACAACTTCCCAGGGAGAGGGAGGAAGGGACTTGTGCCAAAGGACTTAGGCTGCTCTCATTTTATTCATCAAATTCTGCCTCTTTGGGATTAGATCTAAAAGAAGTGGCTCAGACTTTACTCACAATCCAGATACCTGGACTTCTGGACTCACTAAAGTTCTGGATTTCAGTAGGAAGACCTACTATGTAAGAGCTGGCCATATGAGTATATGTTGGGAGGTTGGGATGAGAAAGAGCCACGGAAGTTACATTTCCTCCCATGCTTTTCGAGTTAAGCCCTCAAGCCTTCTAGGGATGTTGGTGTCGCCACGCCATGCTGGTATCTTCAGGGAGGTGGTGGGATGGTACAGGGCAGAACAGTGACTCTCAGCCTTGGCTGCACATTAGAATCACCTGGAGAAGTTTAAAAACTCTCAGGCCACACCACAGACCAATTCATTCAGATGCTTGTGGGGCAGTGGGTGGGATCCAAGCATCTGCATGTTTTCGAGTAGGTGGAGCCAGGTAAGTGTCTTAGCCCTGACTCCAGGGGTCTCTTCATTCAAGTGAGGCTTCACTGCCTTGCGATTTGTAATGAAAAAATAGTGTCTGCGGGTGTTGCTAAAACTTTTACAGAACAGCCGAACCCCTAAAGTAGGTTATAGTTGATAAGAACTTTAGCTGCTAGAGCTATTTAAAAAATGTTTTAAAAATAAAAACAAGGTTTTTTTCACAGGTGATATGTGCCGAAGACTAGGACACTTTCAAGGTCTTGTCGGAGGCCTTTGTGTAGGTCACATACGGGCTATTTCAGGAGGGGTCCCTGGGTTCCTCTGCTGGGCTGGGCATGGTATCTCCCTTCCTGAGGACAGGCTGCAAGACGGGCAGATGCAGGACACACATGTCATCCTTTGTGGCTTCTGTCCCCCCACCCCCCACCCAGAACCCACTGGAAAAAGGGATGGGGAAGAGGAGCTGAGGCAAGCCCAACCCACAAAGCCACTTTGGGAATGTGGTTATCGAAGCACTTCTCACGAGCAGGTGCCTTCTGGAGCTGACTGCTGTTCCAAAGCTTCTTGGCTTTGGAGAAAGTTCTGCTTGAAGACGCTGACGTGATGACTTGTTTTTCACTTGCCCAAAGGATCTGTTCAGTTCTCAGAACTTGCGCTGAAAGCTGGCATTCTTCCTTTCTAGGGACCAGGGTGTTTGCAAGTGTGTTGTTAACTTGCTGATTATCCCTGATTGCATTTTTCGGTTTAAAAAGAACTCATTTCCTCTGGGCAGGTCTGGATCAGCACTTTTCTGCAGGAAGAATCTCAATCCTGTATATGTATACAATTTTTCTTCTCTTTCTGCCCCTTTTTTGTTTTGTTTTGTGTGTGTGTGTGCATGAGTGCATGCATGTGTATAAGGTCTCCGGTGGAATTTTTTGGAAGAAATCGAAGACAATTTTTTAATAGTTAAATATATATTAATAATAGTTCTTCCTACAGGCTTCAGATCATCTTGTGGCTATAGATTGATACTCCAATCTGTAGAAGGCCAACACACAGAATAGCTCATTTATTCTCCTGATACGTAAATAGAATAAATAAACCCTGTAGTAAGAGGAATACTTGGTTGGCTTGGAACAGAGCAGTGCAAAGGTCGAGGTGAGGGTAACTGTTGGGAGAAGTATCCGAATTTACTGTTGATAACTTGGAAGCTGTTGGTCTTGGTAATTGTAATCATGTCTAATCACAAAAATGCATTGCAGTCTTTTAGAAAAGATTCGTTCTCTCCACACAGTTAATTTTTAGACTAAGCGGGGGAAAAAACTCACCTGTAACATATTAAGGGGGAAAAAAAAATCACAGCAGCTGCTGAGTGTCAAGCAGATCTGCGTAAAACAAGATATATAACCTAAACGAATGCTTACCCATTTTCCTAAAGATAATGTGGTGAATCAGGTAGTAAAGATGCATCCATTCCTTCCCCCCTCCCTGCTTTAAATCGCACATGTCACAGAACTGAAACTAGGGGACTGATTCCCAGCAGTTGGTCCTGGGTACCAGGCATCTGATTGTCTCAATTTGCAGGATGGGCTCTGCCATTTGATTATGTGAGGGCCTGCATTTGGCATGGAAGATCTGTTTCGTACTTCACGCTTTAGCAGTTCAAGAGCAAGGGGAGCTGAGAGGGCTCCTGCCACTTCAGATGGATGTGGTCAGGGCCTGTTGGAGGCGCTCTCTGTGGTCCATTAGTTCCTAGCATGCTGGCAGCCTTGATGTTTTCTTGGCTTGTCTGGCTTTCTCACCCCAATGGCTCCAAAATGTCTCCATGCTGCACCCCAGGAAGAATGCATAGAGGGACCCCATTTTTAAATGTGCTTTGGGCTATTTAGAGCTCCTGTTGGGTGTCTTCTCTGGGTAAGACCCAGAAGACACCAGTTGCTGTGGGAGAGTTGGACCTAGTGGTAAGAGGTACCGGACACAGTACCTTCTCTTCTGTGTAGTGAATGGCTTTTAGCTCTGGCCGCAGACTGAACCACACAGCCTACACGGGAAGACTTCATTCTAAGACTCCCAACCCAATTAATGGTCATGTGGAACATTCTGGCACATGATGGAAGGAGAAGAAGTCCCACCTAGATTTACTTCTAGATGTTATGTTTCTAAATAAAATGTTTTGGTGCTTAACTTTATACTTGAGCATGTCAATGTTTAATCTTGCCTTTTCAGTAATGGTCTTGAAGGACAGAAGAAGTGCAGTTAATTAAAAATAAATTTTAAATTATAAGTACCAGGTTTGGGATTTAGTTGAACTATGGCACAGCATATTCACCTGGTTTTTGTCTGTCCTGTTATGGGCAGCCTTGAAGCTCACCTGGGAATGAGGATGTAGCCTGAGCTCCCTCTAGAGAGTAGTTCCCTCATGGGTCATTGAGAGTTTGCCATTACTTTGATGAGTTTAAACTCAATTGTTTGTTTTTAATCCATTCTTAGTTATGAATGTACATGTATTGAATTTCTCAAGAATCTGATGGTCATGAAGGTGTATAAATATCAGTACAAGTCTCCCTGAACAGTACACTTAGCACGATGTCAGCCTTTTGCAGGTGAGGTAGGGACAGGGCAAGATGGAGAAGTCTTCACAGGTCGATCTCTATTTACAAAGCTCATTACATTGCCTGCTATGTGCAGGAGCACAGACCAGAGGCTGCTTGTCTTGAGTCTCAGCTGTAAAGTTTTCAGGTGTTGGGATCCAGCAGGGAAGTATAGCGGTGGGTGCTGGTAATAGGGACCAGAGCATTATCACAAGCACACCGTTGTGTGGTGCCCACTGGCCTCCCATCCCCCATCCCTCCTACTGTCTGAAGATGATATCCTGCTCAGGTTGGTTTGACTGATGGCTCAACTCCTCTGCGTGGCCTTGCTATGCCTTCCTGAAAGTGAATTTCAATCAGTTTTTACTGAGAATTTTGTGACTCTTACCCCATTTCTCAAAGCCAGAACTAGGATAGAATGGTATGCCACGAGGAGGTGCTTACCCTTGAGAATTTACCAAGGGGCAGAGGCATCTGAAGCTGTAGTTAGGTGCCAGTGATTGCCCTGGCTAGATCCTCCTGTCGTGTGCACTTGTGTAAAAACACAATCATCTCACCTCCCCCTTTCCAGTGCACATCCTGCCAGAATTGTAATAGGGCTTTGTTCCTAATCTGTGTCAACCCTGAAAAGTCTGGGCGGTGGGGGCTGGAGGAGAGTGGTGAGTAATCAGAGAGTAAAAGCTGACTCCTTTCAGAATCCTTCTCCCTGGTTTGGAGACTAGCACAGAAGCGAGGCTTTAAAACATACACAAAGGAGGACTGCTGCTTCTGAGACATGGTGCCTCACCCACATTCAGGAGTTAGGTGGGACCAGCCCAGCCAGCAGGGGCTGTCACTAAATGGAGCCTGAATAGGGGTCTGATTGCTCCTTTTTCCTCCTCTCCTTCTGATTACCAAGTGAGATTTCCTGGATATGCTGTATGCTAAATGGCAGAGCAGCCGCCTGCCACTTGCTCCAATTATCCCTCTTTTAACTGCTGAGAGAAGAGCAATTTTTTTTTACCCCCACCCCCCAATAGCTTCTCTGCCTCCTTTAAAGAAGCAAGACCCATCTTCCTTGTTCCCCCTTTGATGGGGTGAGAGCATCCCTTTCCCTTTGCAGAGCCTGCATGCCAGCTGCAGGCTGCAAAGGGGG